ACCCACAACCGGGCCAGTTATATTAGCTGCGTTTCCATTGCAGATGTGCGCAAAACTCTTTTGACATTCTGTTAATGTCAAAAAACACAGTTTCACAATTGCGGTGTTTCCATTAAGTAAGAAATGTTATTAAAGTCACGCGTGAATACGTTTGTTCTTGCAATAAGTCATTACAAACATGGCGGCAATGGATGCAAACACATAGCATATTGCTACCACGACACTAGTACTCATCATCAGCCATCAGAGGAGACGTTGGCGTCTCATTGAGGCTTTTGAGTGACAAGCCTCTTATACTTGGGAGCGGCTACGTTTGCTGTGTTTTTGGGAAATTGTAGTCGGTGAGTTTACTACTTTTACAACTTCTGTGATTTTACTACTATTTCTACTTCCTGTTGTTTTCTTCGTCGTCTTTTTTGCCAGTAGAAACATCCGGTTGTTGATCACGTGACTCCCGCGATGCGAAAAAAGTGTTTCCATTGCATTTTTGTGAAATACACCAATTTCAATACGGCCGAGAAACCACCTCATCCTAGCGCAAAATCATTTTGTCAAAAAAACGTAAGTTTTTTTTCGAAATTGACGTGTTTCTGTTGAGCAAATTTATTTTCGAAATATTAGTTTGCACATTTTCATGGTCATTGAAAACAGAGCTGACAGATGTAAGCCAGACAAACCAAACCACAGCCAAGCCAGTTGTTGCATACCGTCATATAAACAGTGGCCATTGTTGCCAGACCTGGCCCACATCCGGTTGACAAACCACTTGCCATGCCTGCAATCCCAGCTTTACACCAGATCTGACCCACACCCGTCTGTTATGTGGGTTAGAACTCAAGAGGATAAAACTGTCTGGCTAAAGGGGGCCACTGAATATTTTAGGGGTGGCCCCTGCCCTCCCCAACCCCCTCAGCTTGGGTGCGCCCCTGAATATGGTCCTCACCAAGATGGAGTCTGATTGTTGAGAACTTCGAATGTTAGAAGTAAGATCTCAGAGTCTATTCTGGATATGACAGGGAAGCTAAACTGGAGAAATAAATCAGAACTCTGGATCAGTTGAAGACTTTTTCAGTATTTTTATTTGGACACCCACAGATATTTCAATTATTACCAATTTTCAGACAACTAAAAGGCCTGCCCCCACCCACTGCTGTTGACTGGCGGACAGTTACATAACATTTATTCCTGGAACACGTGGTCACCATTATTATAGATGAGGATGGATAGGCATCTGGACACATTTTGTAACTTTAAGGATGTAAAATATGGAGACAAATATGCATAACACTTAGTAATTTTCATCATCAGTGGTCCTTTATGCATGCAGGCAGATTATTTTTTATTTAATTTCCCTTGAGCTTCACTGGCAGGGATTTACTGCAAAGTGGAAATACATTTTCCTGAATGCATCCAGGACAAATAGCTTTACATCTATTTTAACACATTTTAAGCAGTGACCTTGCTCTATAATCTCTCCATATGGTGTCACCTTGCATATCTCCAGACTGACTCTCTCTCCCTCCCCCATC